TTCTTGGGGTGGCTGTTTAGGGTTGATTTCCAATTGTGAGGATACAGCGACAAGTGGCCTTGTTGCCGTGGAGTTCGACTCTTTCCAAAACGATTTCGATAGAACCTCCTGCCATATCGGAATAAACGTAAACTCAATTATATCGGTGAAGACCGTGACGTTGACGCGTGAATGGACTCCTGTCTCCAGAGGTTTCGCGAGGATTTGGTATACTTCTCGGGCCAAAACCCTCTCTGTTATGGTTGATTACCATAATCAAACTTACAAGCTATCTCATCATCCTCTAGATCTATCGAAAGTTTTGCCTAAAAGAAGTTTCGGCTTCTCAGCGTCGACTGGTCACTCCATCTCGATTCACCGTATCCTTTCGTGGGAGTTTAACTCAACAGGCTTCTCATTAATCGCGGAAGATGGTGCTGGACTCGATAGAAATCAAGTGGTGGCTTGTATACTAGGTGGGCTGACTTTTCTAGTATTTATTGGTGTTGCTTTGTTCTATGCCTTCCGTCGTAGAGACGGCAATGCTTTTATCTGTAATGTCTTTCAGAAGAGAAATGGAGAGACGGAGAGTACTACAGCTTTGGATGATGTGTCGAATATGGATCGTGAATTTGAGCATGATATAGGGCCTAAGAAGTTCTCTTATAAGGAATTGGTTAAGGCCACAAATAAGTTTGCGGAACAAGGTATACTTGGTGGAGGAGGATTTGGGGAAGTTTACAAAGGCTACTTGAGGCACTTGAATCTAACTGTGGCAGTTAAAAGAGTTTCTAAACGGTCCAAACAAGGAAGAAAAGAGTATATGTCCGAGGTCAAAATAATTAGTAGACTCAGACACAAAAACTTGGTGCAACTAATTGGTTGGTGTCATGATAACAAAGAGTTCCTTCTTATCTATGAGTTCCTCTCAAATGGTAGCCTTGATTCTCACTTGTTTGGAAGAGAAAGAAGCATTCTTTCATGGAAAGTGAGGCATAAAATAGTCCTTGGTCTTGCGTCTGCACTTCTCTACTTGCATGAAGAATCGGAACAATGTGTTCTTCACCGTGATATCAAATCGAGTAACATAATGTTGGATTCAGATTTCAATGCCAAGCTCGGCGATTTCGGCTTAGCAAGGCTAGTGGATGAAGCCACTGGTTCGCGGACAACAGCGTTGGCAGGAACATTGGGCTACATGGCACCGGAGTACATAAACACGAGCAAAGCGAGCAAGGCCTCTGACGTGTTCAGCTTCGGGGTGGTGGCGTTAGAAATAGCATGCGGAAGAAAATCGATAGAACATGATTCCGAGGAGGAGGATAGGGTTTCTCTTGTTTCTTGGGTTTGGGACTTTTACGGAAGTGGAAGGCTTCTTGATGTGGTTGATGAGAGACTATGCTTGGAATTTGACGTGCGACAGATGGAG